GTCATGTTGCTCAGAGACATGAGAAAATCAATATCACATTTGTGATTTTTGCGAAAAAAATGGCACTCTTCGTGTGATATTGATCAACTATATAAAATTATATAAATATATACATTTTTTGCCCCCATATCTTGAATTTTGGGAGCATTGTAAATGCATTTTATTATACTGAATCATGCAGTGTAAGAACACTCTAAATGAGCATTCAGTCTAGCTAGTGTTAAAGCACTCACAACTCTTATAATCAATGAAGCTGTCCATACACGGTATGATAAATGAATCTCTAACTTACATCGTACGTACATCTGCACTTTGTTGCTTATGATGAGGGAATTCGCGAGTTTCAGTCTGAACAAAACTCTGGGGTTTCAGCGATGACTAATCTGAATGCCTCTGATTGGCTACTGCATTCCTAAGCTCAACAGAATCGTGTGTGATTGGTTATAATGAGCAACGCTGTAAAAACACGTCAAAATAAAATATAATGTAACATAACCAAAACTCTGGGGTTTCAGCGATGACTAATCTGAATGCCTCTGATTGGCCACTGCATTCCTAAGATCAACAGAATCGTGTATGATTGGTTATAATGAGCAACGCTGTAAAAACGCGTAAAAATAAAATATGATGTAACATAAGCAGGTTTAAATGTAATATAGCAATCAAAACTTCATTTTAAGTATTAAAGTTTTATTGAAAAACCAGGGGACCCCCCCAAGTATATTTTTTTGGGTGTTATGGGGGGTCCCTTAATGCTTATGGGAGGTCCGGGACCCCCCCCTCAATTCGAACACTGAAAGGTGAAATATAAATCTATTCATTTAAAGTTAAAGGGGTCATATAATGCTACATATACTTTTACAAGTTGTTTAAACTTCAATGTGTGTTGGCAGTGTGTGTACACAACCACCCTAAAACGATAAAAATCCACCCAGTGGTTTTTGTTAATCTACTAAAATCTTTACCCCTTTCTCAAATCGAGCCGATCTCAGATGCCTGTCTGTGTGATGTGACTATCGGCCCCTCCCACGATAGTTTGATTGACAGTAGCGTTTCAGCACAGACTGGACTGG